GAAGTTGGGTGAATACCAATCAAGTGAGCTGGGTATTGTATGTGGAGTGCCTCAGGGTTCTGTTTTGGGACCTAAATTATTTATATTATACATTAATGATATATGCAATGTTTCTGATTTAGTGAAAGTGGTTTTGTTTGCTGATGACACTACCATATGGGCATCGGGTGAAAACCTACAGCAACTCTCTGGATGGGTTTCACAGGAACTTGAGAAGATAAAGAAATGGTGTGACAGTAATATAGTATCTCTGAATTTGGATAAAACTAAATTTATGGTATTTGGGAATTGTAGACTAGATAATGAACTTCAATTGAAAATTGGGGGAGCTAATATAGAACGAGTATATGAAATTAAATTTCTAGGTGTCATAGTTGATGACCAGTTCTCCTGGAAATCTCATATCAGATATGTTCAGCACAAAATAGCAAAAAATATATAGATATTGGCGAGGGTTAGATATATTTTGGACGGGAAAGCACTACGCATTTTGTATTCTTCATTGATTTTACCATACTTAGAGTATGGCGTTGAAAACTGGGGAAATACATATATATGCTCACTTCAACCATTGTATATATTACAAAAAAGAGCGATAAGAATTGTGCATAAGATGGGGTATAGGGATCACACCAATGTAGCTTTCATACAGTCTAAATTGTTAAAATGTTTTGATTTAGTGGGATATAAGACTGCTGTGTTTATGTATAAAGCCAGGAACAATTTATTACCTGGTGAAATTCAAAAACTATTTAATGAAAGGGAAGGGGGATACAATTTAAGGGGTCAGTTAAATTTAAAAATTCATGCTATACGTACAACCAAAGAAAGATTCTGTATTTCCATAAGTGGGGTGAAACTATGGAATAATTTAAGTGTGGACATAAAAAATAGTAAGAGAATTGACGAGTTTAAACACAGGTTGTTAGCCACGTCGTCGCCGAAAATCCGGTATTTCACCAAAAGAAAAACATTTTAATGTTAAATGATTAAATTGTTGGTTATGTGATAGCCGTGTTAAATATGCTTGAGTTAATTTACGAATGAATGTTTTTTCCAGTAACAGACCATCGTGTTACTGGAAAAAACATTACACCATTCATTCGAGCTGCAGACAACTACATTCAAATATGTGGAAAATTCGCATTTCTATAGATCTACTGTCACAGTATAGAAGTACAGATTACAGAGGGGAAAAAGTAATGTGTTAGAATTGTTTGATAGCACTGATATTAATAGGGTGGACAAAATTAATTTCCAGCACCACCACAAACTACAGCACTGAGCTTGATACAACCAGGAAAGCAACCAGCATTTATTTTCATTAATGATTGTTTTGTTTAGTTTTTCTCAATAATTATAATGTTATGGACTAGACCTTACTTTGAAAAGTGTCATCAGACGACTTTTGTTTTGATTTGGCGCTATAAAAATAAAATTTAATTTAATTGAAAACCCAAAAAAGGTGAAAATTTACTGCTGTTAGATTGTAATTGTAGCAACAGTTCACTGAAGGTTTACTTTTAGTATTGCATTAGATGTGGTTAGATGAACCTAATAATCATCATCATTATGAATGAGTCTGCAGTTTTGTATGCAATAGGTTAATGTGTGCTTCTATGACATTGATCAGACCAACCAGCTTAATTTCTTGACATGGTTTACAAACAGTATTAACATCTAGGATGGATTTTATTTACTTTTAATCAAATGTGTGTTAAGGTGTTCAGTGCCACTGCACTTGGGCACAGCAGCGTGGCGTGACCAGTTTATGCAGTCTGTCTATTTCTAAATACCATCAACTATTGAAAATGTCAACCTAAAAATACCATTTTTCTTTTGTATCCCCTAGTATGTTGGTGCCCTGGAGGAGATGCTGGTGGCTCTGAGGAAAAGCCCAAGGTAACACCACCAACTCATATGTTTTAATCTACTTATTATATACACTGCTCAAAAAAATAAAGGGAACACAAGGGAAAATTAGACATTCAACTATGTAATGAACAAGTTATTTAATAAGAATATTTCATTCATTCAGATCTAGGATGTCTTATGTTGTGTTCCCTTTATTTTTTTGAGCAGTATATATTGCACACATATCTCTCCTTTGCTGAAAGTTTATAGTGACCTTGGGTCACCTGTGCAAAGGAAACTAAAGACTATTGTTCACTATGTATGCAGATCTCACTGACATGTTATTTTATGCATTTTTCAGTGTTTTTTCAGCAAATGGTGTTTCTGTTACTGGTCACTCCAGTTTTGTGCACAGTCATGTAACTAATATATAAACACTGCTGTTATTAAATGATGTGTTTTCTTCATGTAGCAAACCCACACCAGAAGTGCTGACTGAATACACAAGAAAAGTAGATTTTCTGAAAGGACTCTTAGAAGCAGAGAAACTGGTCAGTGTCAATATTTTACACATTTATTAGCTTTTGAAATGTTTGTTTTCACATTATGGGGTGTTGTTATTGCCTTTATATTTATAGCAGTGTTTTAAGCTAGCCCGTTGTCATTATTACTTTATGTATAGTCTTAAATTTAAACTAAGATGTCACATAACTGACTCATGTTTTGCTTTTATTATTTGTAGTTTTACAGAGTTTCTTTTTCCCCTCATTTTGAGGCAGTTTTCTGAACTCATGTTTCCACTGCTCCTGTTCACAGACTTCACCATCAGACAAAGCTCTAGCTAATCAGTTCCTTGCACCCGGACGAACACCCACAATTGCCAATGAGAGAATGCCTGCCACTAAAACTGTCCACATGCAGACAAAAGCCCGATGCACTGGAGAGATGAGGGATGAGCTGCTGGGCACGGTAGGATGACAATACAGGTTTCTGTGACCTTAAAGCCACTGTAAATGCATTCTAGGTTGCAAAGGTTGGGCTCTCCATATTAAGCATCTGGAGATGTTTGATTTAAAAGCCCTAAAACTCATAAATTATGTTCTTTTGTGTCACTACAGGCTTCGTCAGGCAAAGGTAAGAATGGTTTTCCAGTTCAAAGGCATCTTGAATTCAATATCTATACTGAAAACTGGAAGCAATTATTTTTAACAAACTAATGTTCTGGTTTTTTGATTTCTTTCCTCTCTATCGGCAAACCAGAGACGGACTTGCGAAACAGAAGGTAAAGCTTTAAATATTATTTTGTATGAGAAAGAACTAATGTGTTGAATGTAGTCCTAGTTATTGACCTACTCAACGAAAAGTGTGACAGCCACTGCTTGCTTCCAGAAAGTGAGGTCCTCAGCAGTAAAATAAAGCAGTTAATAAGTCTGTTCCAACCCGTGCAGAGGGCTTCCTTTGGATGAGCGTCAGTCTGCTGCAGAGCTGGATGCCATCCTGCAGCATCACCACAACCTGCAGGAGAAACTGGCAGAGGATATGCTCAATCTGGCCAGGAATTTGAAGAATAACACTCTAGCAGCACAGAACATAATCAAACAGGACAACCAGGCAAGTAGCACAGTATTGCTAATGCTTTTGCTTTAATCACACTGGGTTGTCTCATCTGATTCTGAACTTAGGTGTGCAGGGGCAGTGTAAAAAAATAGCATTCACAACCAGCCCGTGATTCCACCCTGCACAGGAGAACTGTTCTATGTGTAATTTATTTCTGTAAACTGACTTGTAGGTCTGACTACTCAGTGTTTATCTTGACATTTACACCAGTTACGTCTCCTTTCACCGCCAGACTCTGAGTCAGTCCATGCGTCAGGCAGACCTGAACTTTGAGAAGCTGAAGACGGAATCGGAGCGGTTAGAGCAGCACACCAAAAAGTCTGTGAACTGGCTGCTGTGGCTGATGCTCATCCTGGTCTCCTTCACCTTCATCAGCATGATCCTCTTCATCAGAATCTTCCCCAGACTCAGATGATGACTGCGCATAGTCCTATATCTTGAGTTTACAAGAGCAGTAACTACACAGGCCTTCGCAGATGTCTGTATGTGTGATACAGATCAGTAGCAGTCAGAACCACAACAGCCCAGCTTGACTGGCTGATGCACCTTTGTAACTGAAATTCTTCCTCAAAATATGCTGATGAGAGAAAATGGTTTGAGGCATCAATATTTGTTTTTTTTTCCAGCAGGACAGACCATAAATCCAGGTAAGAGCTCCAGCGTTCACTTGGAGGGCCTTTGGGAGCAACAACAAAGTCTTAATAGCCAGACGGTAGCAACTGAGCCTTAAGTAGTTGAATCTCATCAGGTAGGCGACCAGCCAGGCAGCACATGTCAGTCATCTTCTGTGGAGCATCATTTTCCACCACACATACATTGAAGAGAGTTCATAAGCCACTCGCCTTTTGCTGTGTATTAGCAACAGATTGATGGAATTAATTGAAAACTGGGTCTAAAGAAATAGTTGTGGATGTGCTAAAACCTAAAATCACCTGGTAACATTAATCCCTCTGTTCAGCAATTATGAGTATACAGGCTTTAAATAAATGGTTTATAACACTATAATGTAGTTGCAAGCAGCTGCAAGGACAATTTAAGTGTTTATCAAGAAATAATCTTTGAAGACCATGATTTATTTGAACTACTGTATGTTCTCATTCTTTATCTGTTTATACCCCAGCTTCTACTTATGAGTAGTTCTTCTCAGTTAAAAATACATTAGTAAACATGCCTGGTTATAACTATAGGGGGTTATCGATGTTCATGTTGTGCATTTAAATTAAAGTAAAGTGCTAACGGTTTCACTAAATTGAAATAGAACAAATTTTAAGTTGTCATCTCTGTTAAGTTCTGGAAACAGTCATTGTGAAGTGCTTTAGTTCTTTGTGCATTTATTATTCCACATACTGTATTTCTGCTGTCCTCAGTCCTGTTTGTTGTTAAAGAGGCCGTGTCTTTTCGTCAACGATTCCATAAATGTACTGTACGTCAGGTGGTGATTTTTGTGTTGTTGCTGACTGCTGAGGCCGCTGAAGTTGATAAAGTAAGCTTTTGTTGTCGTTAAATGACTGTTCGCGTGTAATTTAGACCTGCAGTTGTGTGTGTGTGTGTGTGTGTGTGTGTGTGTGTGTGTGTAGGATCACAACAGGATGATTTAAGAGAAGAATGAACATAATACATTTTCCTTTGTGTTTGAATAGTAACTTGAGGCTATGTGTGGCATTTCCTCATCAAGCCAGTTACTATATGGCGCCCTCTATTGTTGTAACAGTGACTGATGCAGTGACCTCATTTGGCCAGTGTGTGTCAGTCATGTCCTTAGAATAGTGACTGAAAACAACCTCTGTGACCCTGATGGCCTCATCAAGCCATGAATCCCAAATTAACCCTGTGACTCATGTAGAAGTGATCTGGGGACTCATGTAGAAGTGATCTGGGGATTGACGTGTGGTTAAATAAAGGCAGCTGCCACAGAGAGAGTGCACAGTGATTGCATGTGTCCCTGGGTGATCTGTGTGTTTGTTCAGTGTGATAGCAGTTGGGTGTCACTACTCTGAGACTAGTATTCATTGAAGAAGAAGAGTGACGCAGCTTCTGACAGCTTAGCATTCCTCCCATGCTGGCAGCTTGACTGTCCTCTTGTCGACTAGCTTGCCCAGGCTTGCAGCTCCGCCCCTGGACCTTCCTCTCCTCGCTCTCCCTGGCTGCTACCCCACCTCACCACCTGGCTCACCATATATTTTAGGATCCCTTGGGGGCTTTTTCCTGCTGGAAGCCAAAGTATGCAGGTCACCAGGAGACCAAAATGAGGCTGTGTCACAGCAGAGGATCCTCAACCCCAAGTTTAATCACAACTGCTCGGGCCTGCATTCTCAGGCCTTTGCTAATGCTCTGGCTGTGTGATCATCCCTCTGACGCTGCAGATCTGCTTTGGAGCCAAAACTGCATGGCATGACTTCATCAGTGGTGTGGTTTCTCATGTTCATTAGGGTTGTGTTATGCCATTAACTGTTACCCATCTGTGTAGACCCCAGAGTCTGGGATGTGACAAGTATGAGTTTCTATATTCAGCAAATACTTGGCTGTGAGGCTCATTAATGCCAGTGTTAACCTCTGACCTGGTGAACCTGAATGGGTTCCTTCCTGAGGTCTTTTCCCACAGGGTTGATCTGAAGATAGTGTGGAGCGAACACATGTTTATACTACTTTTATTTGGCACATATTACAAAACCTGTGTTTCTCTTTAAAAAGTGTTCACTTATTTCCCCCAGTATTTTTAACATTAGTTCCACTACCAGCTATAAAATTAAATAGCTTCTTACACAGTAATGCATCAGTTGTAAGAATATGATGTAACATGCTATTCTTTCATCTAAATATGTAGTTTGATACTCAGAGTACATGCATACACATATAAATATAAATACATATTCAACATTTTGTATAATTAACAAAATAAAATGTTCACTTTTTAACGACTTCAGTCCAAACTGCAACTTTTCGTGCCACCACCCCATCTTTTCTAGCTAGTTCTCACTCAATAATACGCAACCATGAAAGTAGCCGGCATCTTAGAGCCACGTACCGTGCGAGGGTTCCTCCTACAAACTGCACCAAGTGATTCTGCTGCTGTCAGGCCTGTGAGAAACTCATTGTTGTGGTCACAATGCATTAAATAAGTTAAACATTTGGGAGCACAATAGTAGGGAAGTAACAAACATAGTGGAACATGGTGCTGTACCTGTGATATTTGAGCGTGTGTGTGTGTGTGTGGTAGTATGCTTTTAATTGGCTTGATCCTTCCAAACAGCAGAGGAACAAACTGTTAAGCATGAGAGAACTTCCATCCCTTCTCATCACAGTACTGCGCCTGGTAAACACCCCCGACACTTCAGTCTTTTTAATTTAGCTTTTGGCTGCAGCTGCGCTGAGGATTTGGGTTGCCTACAGAGATGAAGGACATTTTTCTTTCGTTCTCTTTTTTTATTTGCTTCCTTGAGGGAGCAAAAAGGTAAAGAGGGATTTTCTTTTTCTTTGTGTCAAACTTTTGAATATGCTGTAATGTTCATGACCTAATGGGAACATACTGTAAGAGGCTGCATTTGTGGAGCTTCTGAAGTGACTCACTATCTCGCACACTCCAGCTCATGGAAAAGAGAGAACTGATCTGCTTCTCTTTTCAGGAATGTGTACATTTTACAGGCATATCTCCATGAATCAATAAACTCCTTGAAGGTTTTTATAGATTGCTTGCTTTTATGGTTTAATTTTCCAGTTGTTAGTTTCCTCGTCCTCAGTTTCTTCTTAGGTCAGATGTGGAAACCCTTTCTACTTCTTGATGAGAGTCAGTGAACTGTTAAAACACCACAGACAATAAGTAATAATAAGACCCTTTTTTTCAGTTGTTTCTCTGATAAATGCTCACATATTGTATACTGTTAAGTTGTAAATAAAACAGACAAGTCTTGGTGCATTTGACCTTTATTTGCTCAAAAGACACAATAGAGCAAAACCAACAACTTTTCAGTTTTTTTTTTAATCAGAGCTGCACAGCTGCTGATCTTAATCTCCTAATCTCTCTTGTCTCCACAGGTGTTGTATAAGTTTGTGTCTGTTTTGCCGTTACTGTTTCCCTCAGCAGGACCCACCTCCCTATGTGTGTCGGTCTGTGTGGTTGTGTTGTGTTTGTGGCTCATGAGGATTCTTCTCAAAGCTCCCACACACGTGTTATGTTATGGCAGCCCTCTGGCTGGAGAGTTGAAGTAGCACAAGCGCTAAGAAGTGCCACTTTCAGCTCTCTTACAGTATTTGTCACAGCTGAGGATGATCTAAGAGAATTTTAGTAGCCGTGACAGTAACTCCTTAACTGTGTTTGCTGTTTGTCTCTACATGCCTGTGTGTGTGTGTGTGTGTGTTTCACCCCAAAAGCCAGAGTCATATGCCATTCCCAGCAGCCCCCTGTTGCCCCTCTATCATTCCGTGTTCCCGGCTTGGTGTGAACATGTGGGTTAATACACTGAACCCTCCAGCCTATTTGTCAGGCAGCAAGAGTCCCCATTGGGGAAAAAAGGTCCCTGCAGATTTCTGCTTGATGCAGGGAACCCGGGTAGTGCTGATGCTGAGAGACTTAATTTTTTGGTTGTTTAGTCGTGCTGAATCAGTAAAAGGTGAAGGACCGCAGCCGTTGCTGGTAGTACAGGACACTTTGTGCTTGATGCTGGAAAGACGAGCTTAACTTACTTGGCCATGAGACAGCAGACTTATAAGAAGTTATGTTTGGAGAAAAATGCTAAGTTAGATGTCTGTTGCATGATTATGTAGCTGGTCCTGCAACCAGTTAGCTTAGTTTGGCATGAAAATAGTGGGAAACACTCCAAAGGTAACAAAATCCACAGCCCAGGACCTTTTTATCTCACTATCAACAGGTTTTTTTGTTTTAAATCTATAAAATGATCACTATTATAGGTTATTTTTGCACATCATACACAAACAAGCTATAATGTGTTGATGAGCTTTTAAAGATCCTTCAGATTTTACCTTCAGACTAGACCTGCAACAATTCTTTGAATAGTTAATCATCAGAAAAATAATCAGTAACTATATGTTGCTGATCAATTAATCAATTTCATTGATTATTGAGTAAGCAAAACTGCCACTGATTGTTTGGCTCCAGGTGTCAACATGTGCTGCTTTATACTAAATAGAATGTTTTGGAGTTTGGGACTGGCAGTCTCATCTGACTCTTAGAAAGAAGGCAAATACACACATTTCCCAAAATGTTGAACTACCCCTTTAAGCTGGTGTTTAAACCTAGAGGTAAGAAGTCGCAGGTGGCTTGGGTGCAACATTTGTTTTTCTCTGAGTAGACTGAGCCTTGGGCTGAGAACTGCTGCTCAGACAGGGAGGAGGCCTTGAGGGTATAAACTGTCAAGGACGTTAACGCGGACAGTGCGAAGTAGGAGCAGGGCCCAGCAGTTGAGGCTCTGGGCTCTGCCTGAGGCTAGAGGCAAAACTGGGATGAGGGTGGGACTGGAGGTGGATGGGGTTACATCCAAGGAATAATGTGCTGTTTTGGAATCAGGCACACCTCTCCTGGGCCCCCTCAACGTTTCCCCCAAGAGGCCCCAAGCTACCACAGCAGGTGCAGAGCCCCTCCTGGAACAATGGGGGCTGCTCAGGGTGGCAGATCAAGGGTGTGTATGCTTGTGTATGCTGGGAGTGTGTGTGTTTGTGATATATTTCCTTTTTATTTTGATCTACCAGGTTCTCCCCCTCTTGGGTTTTGCACTTGGCCTGAATACCATACCATACTTGATACCATAAGTATGCAACAACAAGTGAAAGTGCTTTTGAATTTGGCATGAAAATAGTCCAGTTCTTGTCTGTCGTTGTGGAAAACCCTGTGTTGATAAAAAGGTCTGAATCCTTGGCTGAGCTGTTATTTATAAGGATGTTTGAGACCAAGGTGATTTTCAAGATCAGCTTTATCGTCCTTCAGCAGATGTTATGTCTATTGACTTTGTATGCCAAGGCCAACCAGATGATTAAGTACAAATACAAAAGTACTACATTTTTGGCAAAACAATTCTTAACGGTTTTTAGCAATGTGTTATTTTCTAAGTTCAGCCTCTCAGAAAATGTAGCCCAAACACTGAAGGTTATGAGTTCAATAACGGAGACCCTTCTTGCTTGAAATGCTCAGCTACAAATAATTATGTTTTGTACATTTAACATATTGAGTGGCATGGTGGTTCAGTGGTTACTATTGTCGCCTCACAGCAAGAGGGTTCCAGGTTTGATGCTTGCGGCCAAGCGGTGTATTTCCGATTGGGGTTTGCATGTTCTCCCTGTTCCTCTGTGGGTTTTCTCCGAGTACCCTGGCTTCCCCCCACAGTCCAAAGACATGCAGATTAGGTTAAGTGACAACTCTAAATTGCCTGTAGGTGTGATTAATCTCTGTGTGTCAGCCCTGTGATAGACTGGTAACCTCTTCCAGGGTGACCCTGCCTCTCACCCAGTGTTGGCTGGTAATGACTACAGCACCCCCCTGCAGCCCTCAGTAGGATAAGTGGTATAAATAATGGGTGGCTAGATGGACATTTATCATAACGTGTCCAGTCATATTTTCAGTTTTCATATCCATTTTTCTGTGTGCACTAGTGGTGCTCACACATGAGTAAAAGTGTAGTTCTTTCCTGGATCCTTCCTATTCCAACCAGTCAAGATCAAAGGTGATGCAACTTGTTTGGCTGTCAGACCAGCATCAGCTCTCTGTTCTTGACTACTCATTCCTTTTTCCTCCATTTTCAGAGAACTTGGTAAGAGGCCGTACGTCTCAGACGGGAAGAATGGGAGAAGACGGCGCTTAAAGATGTGAGCATCTCCCCAGCAGTAGAAAAAGAATCCTGCTTGTGAATGAGCTTGGGAGCTACTGGAAAGATGCGAGAGAAAATTTGATGAATGGATATTTTTGTGATGCAGACTCAGTGGTGTATTTGCAGCGCTGTTGTTTTGTGCAGTACAATACCGTTCATAGATGAATACGTGGCCTTATCGCTGTGATGTTAGTTGGTTTTCTCTTGATGTACAGTACTGTATATGCAAAACAATAACACTATTGTCTTATTAGAAACCACCAAAAACAAACTGGTTTAAAAAAAATAATTAAATTAAAAAAACACTAGATTTACACAATAGCCTGGCAACGTATGTATCAGCACATACCAAGGAGGACCAGTCTGTCTGGATCTCAGTCGGGATGGTCAGTTATGCAGGCAAACAATAGTGTTTGATACAACATAAATACAGAACAAATACGTTTGATAATTAAAGTATATTTTGCTTAAATAGGATTTTGAATGATGTATTTTTAGACTGTACTACCAGTTTAACTTGCGTTCTCTTGCTACTGTCTCTGCTCAGTGAACAGGTGTCAACAGCAGGTTAAGTCCAGGTGAGATCCTGATGATGCTTTGGAGTTTTCTGCACAGACTGGAGTAAATGTCCCGCTGTCCCACTTACTGTTATTTCATTCTTTCTAATTTGTTCAACCATGTCTCCACAGCATATCTGTTATTTACCTATATTGTTATTTTCACATCTCCCTACATCCCTTCACTCCTCTGTTTCCCCCCTTGGTGTCTCACTCTATCTCATGCTGCAGCACAAGAAGAAGCGAAATATTACAGCTGAATAAAACATCACAGGAGTCCTAATGCTTATGCTCAGTGTTGGAGAGTTTTTTATTTAGCAGCTCAGAGCTCCTTTGGCTAAATTCTTTCTGCTGCAATACTGCAAGTCAGTGGGTTATTTGGAAAACAAACACTACACAATTAAAGTTTTTATTGAGCACTTTTTCATTGTCTTCTCCAAACAAAAAAAACTTCTGTCACTCTAAATTCCTTTCATTCTGTGTCCTGTGATGTCCAGTATTGGTTCAGCACCTACCTGTGATGGACACTGGCGAGTTAAAGAACAGTCTTCCTGTTGTCCAAGCGCCAGACAGGTGATAGGGCATTGAAGAACACTGGCAGACCTAACATAGTTCAGGGCTTCTCAAATATGCCAACAAGCCTTACAAAGGACGTCCATACAAAATTCTCCTCCCAAGGTGTCGCTTTGGGATAAGGGTTGGTTTCCTGCTGCGGAGCGACTCAGCCCTGGGTGATGTTAGGTTTGCTTGACTCAGGGAAACAAGTTTTTGTGATTGTTGCATTACATCCAACCACCCCAACTTATTGTCTCTCAGCAGAAGATGACAGGTGTTTATGGAAGTAAATCCCTCTGAAAAACATTTGAGGGTGTGTGAACATCAATACTACTCAGTTTGCAACTCAGCATTTGAGAGCACACAGGCACATACTGTATTTGTAAGTGCAGAATCAGGTTTGAGCGCATTATCCTGGCCATCGCTGTGCTTGTTTCTGAGTCTGCGCTGTCAGATTGCTCCACTGGGGTTTGTGTGAAAGTCTGTCTTCAGCATTTTAAAAGTGTACAAACAAGTTTCAAGCTCTACTCATTTTGCAAATCAGAATTTGAAAGCAGACAGGCACAAATTTGTAAGAGCAGAGACAGATTTGAGAGCGAGGCAGGATAGAATTGTAAGTGTAACAGATGACTTCAGGGAGCAGCAGGTAACCTCCCTCACTCGCAGATGTGATTCTGCTCTTCCAAATCTGTCCCTGTGTGCTCTGCCACTAAATAGTGCTCAAAACCTGTTTTGTGTGGTTTCAAAACTATTGGTGCTGACAGACTTTCACACAAACACCAGTGAAGAAATATGAGAGCACAGAGTTGGAAACAAGTGCACACACTTGAATTTGATTCTGCACTTACAAATCTGATCCTGTGAGCTCTCAAATGCTGAGCTGCAAAGTGAGCAATGCTCAAAATGTGCTTAGAGCTCCTTCAAACATTTTGACAGGGATTTACTTCCATAGTTTGGGTTTTCTTTGAGACTTTGGTAAAGGGACCTCTCTACCCACTACCTTGTATTTACAAACAATTGTTTGCACTGGTGATTGAGACCTGAAGTTACTTTGTGGTGGCCCAAAGTAAAATCTGCACTGAGCTCTTTGGGCTTCTCATTGTGATGTTTATGTAGTGCAGCAGTCAAACAAACTCAATTACACAGCCGCAGAGAAGTTAAAAGCTATAATAAATCACACACACCAACAGGAATTTAAGAGGCAATCTCGTGAAGTTAAATGGCATCTTATTGTGCCCCTAGTATTTATAATATGCAGTGCTAAGTTGTTTTTTCTGACCCATTAGATTTTGTCATAGTTCATAGAAGACCAACAAAAATGTATGAAAGAAACCAAACATTTGTTTTTTTGACACAAAGGTACATTTCTCTATCATTCTGAGACAGAAAAAGAAGAAAAAACCCCCAGAATATACAGACACATCCACATTTATAAAGGGCAGGGTCATGTCCCTCTAATACAGTTACAACATCCTCCTAATAATCACCTCTGTAATTTTACCCTGCATGTTTGACTGGTTATTTATGCACACATTCTTGGATATTTTTGTCCTAATTTGGGCTACTTTCTCCTGATGTTTTCAAACTGAGGTTATTTATAGTGAGTAGACACACTGTCCTCTCACACAGCTGGCCTCTATCAGGCATACAGTCATCACAATCAGACAAACACTTGCCCTCTGTCAAGTAAATTACATTACATTTGAATAATTACAGCTGGCATAAGTTTAAAGCTGCAGTTTGTTTGCTGATGCCCAGACCTCTCGCTGAACTCTGATGCTCGTCCTGCTTCCCTGATCCCCAACTTCCTTGTCCCTCTCCTTGTGAGAACATAAACACTTTTTAAATGATCATTCTAGGAAGTTTCAAATTTATCCCAGTCTCATGCTGTAGAGCACTGAAGAAACACGCCTCAGGTCTGTGGCTGGAAGCAAGATTTGGGAAGACTGACGCACTGGCTTGCTATCAAGAGTAGCAGTTAATCTTTTGCTCCCTTGTAATTGTCAGTGTCATGAACGCTGCAGTCTGACTTTGATCCTCTCAGAAGAAATAGTTCTCACTTTGGATGTGGTGTTCGTAACATCCAGGATGGGTGGTGGTGTGTGGCTCGGCCTGTTTCCTCTGAAAACACTAATACAATGCTACTGTGTTTATCCCACAACCACGCCTTGCTCTCAGGAAGGAATTAGATGTATCCCCTTTCTCTTATTTGGCTTCAGTCAGTGTGCCTGCCAGTGTTCTGACCTGAGTGAGCCTCTTACTGTAGGTTTATTTTTGTAAATGCATTTTAAAGGAAAGCATCTTTGTTATTTATGTTTTCCCCTTCAGGACATTCTGTGCTGTACACTGTTAATAGGTTGTTGTTGACAGTGAATACATCCTCAGTGCATGTTTGTTACTATATGAGACAAAAGGTTTAATCCACATATTTTCAAACTATTTCCTGCTCAGGTCAGAGGTCAGGAAAGCATCAGTAGTCGTTAAATTGCTGGTGCATAGTTAATGCACATTGTCCAGTAAATGTTTGGTCTCTTCTACTCTGATTCAAGTGTTTGCAACAGAAACTGACTCTGACGCTCAGGTTATTGCTTTGAAATCGGGAAGACATTGTTCAAATTTAACCTGACTCTGAAATGTAATCTGAAATGGCGAATAAAATGAAGAAGATCTGGACCAGGAGCAGGAAATATAAATTTAGTTAGCATTTCCACCAACATATAACATGCATTCGACAACAACCCACATGTCTACTGTACATTTCTGTCATGAGAAAACTCTCCTCTTTAAAATGTTATTAATTTTTGTAAACATAGGCCAGTTTATGCTAAGAAAGTCTTGACATAGAGTTGATGATAAATGAAATGTTATTTTATTTAAAAAAAAAAAACTTCTTTTAGCTCTCATTAAATAATTTGGGTATATTGTGGTTCTTTGAATATTTAAAGCCTCAGAGCTTATGTCTGTTCCAGAAGGATACAGGGGGCCACTGACACGTCCCTGTGCCCCTGGAATGGAATCCTGGGAATTTTGATCTCTTCTCTGAGCTGCGCTAAAAAGTCACGCCGCCGCTGGTTTCACATGCACTTAAGGAAAAGGGTTCACGATCAAAAACTGTGAATGACTCATTTCACAGAACAACATGACTGCATGTGCAGCAAGTGTCACCCATTTTGTTGTAACCTAGTTTTGAAAATAAGGCAATATACACAATTAGATCAATTCCCCAATATTTTTATTAGAAAGCTGCATGAGCACCAAGATAACCTGTAGATGACCTGAAAAAAATCATAATCATTAGTCCTAAAGTGATGTTTTATTAAATCAAGAGAAAACAATGAACATGAAGTCATTTCAGCTGTTTCTTGCAAAAATCTGATTTTTATAAAAGGTTTTCTTGAATAGTTTTGTTTAAATAAGTGACGATAGTAATGCAAATATTGTAATCTGCACTATTTTGTCTTGTTTCACCATACTGACATTTGTAGAAAAATTTTCAAACCATTAAGGAAGATGCAAAGAGGAGGTGAGCTGCCTTACTCTGCTGGCGTGTTTACTCCTCTTTACGAATGAGAATATCACCACACACTCCAAAGTTATGGTTCCAAAGGCTTTAACTTTGAAAAACAGCAGCTTTAATTCCAAAAGTTAAACTAAATGCTGATGTAAGCATTAAAAGTTGGTTAAAGTTTGACTTTTTTATAGTGTGCTGAAAAATAAAAGTATACTAACTATTACCTGGTTCAGCTATCAAGAGACAAAATAAAGTGCTACAGGAAAGTTGAGAGGTGCCTCTCTCTCCTAACTTTCTCCATATTTCTAAAAACTGAACTGTCTAAATCCTTGCTGCCCTGCATGTGTCCATGTTTATGTGCAAAAGGAAGTATCAAAACCACAGTGTCCCCATCCTCTTAGTGCGAGGGGACACACATGATGTTGTGCAGCACATAATAAAGACAACACACCTTTTCCCCCCTGAACCTGCTCTGCCTGATGTTGCTCTGACCTTGACTATCCTTTGTATTTACTGGGCTTCTCTTTGTGGATCTGTTGCTATTGTCACTCTGACAATATGTGGACAAAGCTGTCCGTGACACATCCTCTGAGGAAGTAGATTCAGGTTCAAGCAATATTCCTTCCCAAATAAAACAAATCCTTTAGCCCAGCACATGGCCTTGTGGCCCCCTAACCACCCATCAATGTGAGAAAAGGAACAAACAGGGGGGAGGGGCAGAAGCAAAGGAGGACAAAAACCTGAAAAATGGGGAGGAGGAGGGAGTAAAAATGGGAAGAAGACTGAGAAAATTGTGTGAAATGGCATTAGAAAGGAAGATGGTAGTGCAGAAGGTGTTTTCAGTCTTCAAAGTGTGAAGGAAAAGAGCAGGTGATGAGACTTAGTACATGGAAAAAGATGAGTGGGCAGCCGATGTAACCTTCACAGTCTAATCTGTTAAGAGATAAATGTGTGCCCAAGTGTGGGAAAACAAGGCTCTCTGGGATGTGCGTGTGACCAGGGGTTAAGTGTGTAACACACAGACCAGTGGTGGACACACAAGGACACACTACACATGATGGAGCGATGTGTAACAGGGGTGGAGGCTGAGTTTCCTGAAGGGTTCTCTAGGTCAGGACCCTGTCGCTGGCTGTGTTTAAAAGGAAGCCTTTGCTTTGTGGAAATAAACTACTGTGTGTCTTATCTATCCTTAGCATGGTTACAGAAGTCAGCTGATCATTATTATTGTCATTATTATTTCATTATCCATCACAATTTATCACTGTCTTGTGGTCAGTGGTCCAAATCCCAAAGACAATTTGCATTTAAGGTATTCTGGCAG